TTCTTTTTGCTTATGTGGTGCTGAGGAATCGAACCCAGGGCCTCAGGCATGCAAGGCAAGCGCTCTACCACTAAGCTACCTTCCCAGCCCACTTGCTGAGGCTTTGAGACAGGACAAACATCAAGATCAGTTTGTAGCAAGAATGGGGACAAAACCACTATGAAAGATAGCTAGCTATTTTGGGAAAATTTACATTTTTATTATGGATGAACAGCTGGCAACTTTTTTTTTTTTTGCCAGTCCTGGGGCTTGAATTCAGGGCCTGGGCACTGTCCCTGAGCCTTGCTGTGCTCAAGGCTAGCACTCTACCAGTTGAGCTACAGCATAACTTCTGGCTTTTTCTGTTTATGTGGTACTGAGGAATTGAACCCAGGGCTTCAAACATGCTAGGCAAGCACTCTACTACTAAGACATACTTCCAGCCCTGGCAACTCTGTTCTTTTATTCTGCCTAGGTTGTTTCTTCACGGTGGAGTAATATCTAATATATGTGTGTGTGTGTGTGTGTGTGTGTGTGTGAGTCAAGGGGCTTGAACTCTGGGCCTGGGCACTGTCCCTCAGTTCTTCAGCTCAAAGCAAGCACTCTACCACTTGAGCCACAACGCCACTTCTAGTTTTCTGGTTGTTTATTGGCGTTAAGAGTCTCCCAGCCTTTCCTGCTCAGGCTGGCTTTGAACCATGATCCTCAGATTTCAAACTCCTGAGTAGCTGGGATTACAGGTGTGAGCCACCAGTGCCCAGCTATCCTAGTATATTTTTTAGAATTACTAACATTAAAGACTTTTATTGTGACAATTTCATCTTTGTGTATAGTCTATACCAGTATCTCGAAGTGTTTCATGATTTTCTCTATTAAGCTCAGTTTTAGGTTTTATATTTAGGGTCTTTGACCCATTTTTTTGTACACAATGAGTGATGAGAGTTGTTTCAATCTTCTACATGTCGTATTCTTTCCCCAGCATCATTTGTTTAAGAGATAGTCCTGTTCTTTGTTCAGCCTGTTTTTGGAACTCAAGTGCCAGTTGGCTGTCAATGTGTTTATTTCTGTACTCTGTTCCACTGGTCTGTGTATATCTTTATGATATTACTGTTATGATATGCTGTTTTGGGGTTTCTCTTGTTTTGCAGTATATGCTAAAATCAGGTATTGTAATGCTTCCCCCCCCTTTTTTTTGGCTTAAGACTGTGTTGGCTATTTGGGGTCTTTTGTGCACATATGCAAAGTTTTGTTTTTTCCTTTTTCTGTAAAGAATGTAATTGGTATTTGGATAAGGACTATTTTATCTTAGATTGACTTGAGCAATATGGACACCTTAATATTAATTTTTCCAGTCCATAAACACAGGCATCTGTACTTGTTTTTTCCCTGCCAGTCTTGGGGCTTGAACTCAGGGCCTGGGCACTGTCTGTCCCTGAGCTTCTTTTGCTCAAGGCTAGCACTCTACCACTTGAACCACAGGGCCACTTGCAGCTTTTTCTGTTATATGGTCTGAGGAACTGAGCCGGGGCTTCCCACATGCTAGGCAAGCAAGCGCCTCTATCAAGCCACATTCCCAGCCCATCTATATTTCTTAATGTTTTCAATTCTTTTGCATCAGTGTTTGATAATTTGCATTATGGAAGTCTAGGTATTGTATTTGTGTATGCCTGTTGTGTGGGGGATGGCTTTCATTTCTTTCTGAACCAAGTCTGGTGTAGAAAAGCTTTGAACTTTTGTATGCTGTAGTCTTTTGTGTTTTTAGATTTCTATGTAGTGAAAACGTGCAAACAAGCATAATGGCTTCATTTTCCACTTGTATGCCTTTTTTTCTTGCCTAACTGCTTTGGCTACTATTTCTAGTAACATATTGAATAAGACTGGTAAGAATGGACAATTGTCTTGCTCCTGATTTTAAGAGGCAATGTTTTCTTCTCCTGTTCAGTATGATAGTGGGTGTAGTTCTGTAGAGCTTTTATTTATACCGAGGAATGATCCTTCTATATGTTTGTTCACAGCATTTATCATAAAGGAATACTGAATTTTATCAAGTGGAGTCTCTGCATCTGAGATGTTTATCCTCCATTCTATTTATGTGCCGTATCATTTATTGATTAGCCTGGAATGAAAACATTGAGGATAGGCATCAGGTGCCAGTGGCTCATGTATATGATCCTAGCTACTCAGGTGGCTAAGATCTGTAGACCAGTTTGAAGCCTGACAAGGCAGAAAGTCCATGAGACTATCTCCAATTTATTACCATAAAACCAGGAATGTAGCTGAAGCTCAAGTGGTAGAGTGCTCCTCTCCTTGACCTGAAGAGCTGAGGGACAGCATCCAGGCCCAGAGTTCAAGCCCCACAACTGAAAAAAAAAAAAAAAACATGCTTTTCCTCTCAAAAATTCTATAGGCGCCAGGTGCTGGTGGCTCACGCCTGTAATCCTAGCTACTAAGGAGCCTAAGATCTGAGGATCATGGTTCAAAGCCAGCCTGGGCAGAAAAGTCTGTGAGACTCTGATGATCTCCAATAAACCACTAGAAAACCAGAAGTGGCGCTTTGGCTCAAGTGGTAGAGCGCTCGCCTTGAGCTGCAGAGCGTAGGGACAGCGCCCAAGCCGAGTTCAAGCCCCACAACTAACAGAAAAGAAAAAAAATTCTACAGGCATGTGTGGTAGTGTGCACCTATAATCCCAGCTTCTCAGTACTGCGGTACTCAGTGCCTTACAGGTGGCTGACATAGGCACACTGGAGCCCAATCCAAAAGCATTTTAGGCAACATGACAAGCCCCTCCCTTGTTCAAATTTATTTCCTCTAAGTTATTATGTATTTTACAAACCTGGAGTTCCTGTGACAGAGGAATTCGTTTTATTGGTGTTTTCAAGAAATCCAACAAGCCCGCTATACACCACCCAGGTGAAGGCAGGCACAAAGACGAGCTCCATACTGCCACGCTCCCCCACAGAGGAACATGAGGCAGTACCTCTTCCTGTACCTCTGCTTGGCTGGAGGTACAAATGGCACATGTTCAGGCCAGCTCCAAGGTAAGCCAATGAGAACATCCTATGATCTTCACTAAGACTCCATTGGTGTTTCTGAGCTCCTGTTCCCAAAAGGACCACTAATCGACGAGCTTCGCGAACTACCGAGAACAAGCCTCTCACGCCGTCCAAATGCTTCATTTACTAAAAACAAGCAAGCAGTTAAGAAACTACAGCTCAAGAAATCAAGTCTGTACATCATAAGAGACAAGTTTCTTTACTCTGGAGTAGAAACTTTGTTATGAAAATGTATTTAAGAAACACTGCAAATGAGATAGTAACCAGCTTAGAACTCCAAATTAATGTGCTAAAGTCAAGCAATTTTTAAATGGTCTTCCCCCTTCCCCCCTAGTCCTGGGCTTAAACTCTGAGCCTGGGCTCTATCCCTCAGCATTTCAGCTCAAGGCTAACGTTCTACTGCTTGAGCCACAGCACTACTTCTGGCTTTTTCTGCTCATGTGGTGCTGAGGAACCTAGGGCCTCATGCATGCAAGGCAAGTGCTGCTCTACCACTGAGCCACCTTCCCAGCCCTCGACTTTTTTTTTCTTCTTCCTGTACACTCCTCTAACTTCCCTGGAAGTAGCTAATCTACCTTGGTTAACAGGTGTTCCGTCCCTTAGAGACACTGCCTTCCCATTCTATTTCAGGTTGTTTTCTCTCTCTCTCTCCTCTGTATTGTAACTACATAGAACTTTGTGGATTTAGGATCTTTCATATAAATTCAAGCCAGAGTAACCCAGAGAAACCTCCTTGTTCCTTATAGGAGGGAGGATACAGGAACCATACAGTGGGGGCATATTAGACTGTTTATAAGACATAGCAGACTACCTCAAGATAATAAAGCAGCAGCCACATCTTCTAAGGGGAAGACACTGGCCACCTGGGAAAGCAATCTTGAAGAAAGCAGTTGGGAAAGGGGCACACTTATGTATTCTGGTAACTAGCAAGGGGAGGGCTCTTTTTTGAGTACAGAACATTTTCTTCCGTCTTCCCAGGAAACCTTTCAATTTAAAAGACTTTAGGGAGGGAATGTGGTTCAGTAGTAGAGTGCTTGTCTAGCATGCATGAAGCCTGGGGTTCGATTCCTCAGTACCACATACACAGAAAAAGCCAGAAGTGGTGCTGTGGTTCAAGTGGTAGAGTGCTGGCTTTGAGCAAAAGAAGCCTAGGCCCTGAGTTCAAGTACCAGGACTGGCAAAAAATAAATAAATAAAAATAAATAAAACACTTAAAAAAATTACATAAACTTGGGGCTGGAAAGGTGACTCAGTGGTAGAGCGCTTGCCTTGCATGCCTCAGGCCCTGGGTTCGATTCCTCAGCACCACATAAGCAAAAAAAAAAAAAGCCGGAAGTGGCGCTGTGGCTCAAGTGGTAGAGCGCTAGCCTTGAGCTGAAGAGCTGAGGGACAGTGCCCAGGCCAAGAGTTCAGGCACCACGACCGGACCCCCCCCCCCCAAAAAAAATAAAAACACATTTTTGTGTGCCAGTGGCTCGCGCCTGTAATCCTAAGTACTGAGGAGGCAGACATGTGAAGATTGAAATTCAAAGCCAGCTGAGGCAGGAAAATCTAGGAGATTCTTTTCTCCAAGTAACCACTCAAGGCAAGCCTTGAGTGAAAAAAGCCCAGGGATAGTACCTAGGCCCTGAGCTCAAACCCCACAACTGACCAAAAACAAACAAACAAAACAAAAACAAGCCCCAAAACCTTTTCTAAGCTTTGCAGTAACCACCAGAAGACAGGAAAGCAGTGTGAGCTGTCTGCGCATCCACACTCACAGCAGTGTTATCCTCAACATCCCAAAAGCAGACGCAACTCCAGTGGCTACTGACGGACAAACTGTGGTATATGCATTCAAAGAGAATTAGGTCTGACATACAGACTGCAGATGAACCCTGAAAAATGGTGGCTGCCAGGGCTGGGAGGAAGGGAAGGTGAAGAGTCAGTGTCTTCAGTGATTCAGGGGCTGCTCCAGTCTGGGAACATCTGGGGATGGTGGTGGGGACAGCTGCACTATGATGTGAGCATACGGAAAGTTACTAAACTGAAAAGTTGGTGCAAAGGGAATGCCATGTGTATTTCTACACAATGTATAGGGGCGGGGGAGAGGACATGGATGAGATTTGGAAACAAAGGAAAGTGAGAAAGATCTGGAAGAACCAGTGCTGTTGTACCACTGGCGCTGGGTGCTTGCTGTCTCTCTAAGTGGAGAAGTGGAGGCCATGTGTGCAGACTGGTATCGAGCTCCTGGGTGATGTGGAGATGGAGATGTTGCTTCAAGCAGCGAGGAAGTGGGGGAAAGAAGAAAGGTACACAGCATGGAAGCAGACAGGCAGGAACACGATACAATGGTTTTCCAATCATCCAAATGTCGTTCCTCTTTACCTGATTAGCTTGTTCCATGAAAGGTCGAGGACAGCATCCGTATGCCCTTCCGCAGAGGAGCTCTGCAATGATTGCTTTAATTACTTTTTTAATTGTGATTGTTAAATTTGCAAGACTCATTAAACTCTAGGCTTAATGCTTTGCTCTAATATACTCTGCTGCAGAAGTAAAGAAATACTCTTTTATATTAGGTAACTACAATAAATATTCTTTTTAGGGAAGAAATTAAACCATCTCTTGAACTTGCTGCTAATCTTACAAATATTAATATTGCTCCCACCTCCTGCAAAACCTAATAATTTAAGAATTATAGGAATGGATACAAGGAGCTAGAATTGTGGCTCTAGTGGGAGAGTATTTGCCTAGCAAGCACAAAGCCTTCAGTTCAAACCCCAGTGCTGACAAGAAGAAAAAAAAGAGGGAATACATGGAATATTTAGAATTCAACACAGAAAAGGCTAAATAGAAACTTTTGTTTTTCAAAATTTCAAAGCTAGTATATCAGTTTTGAGGAAAGATTAGAACTGGACATACCAACAGAGGTTTATGTAGTCATAAGTAAATTTTCTTCAAATTGGTTCTTTTGAAAGTAGAAATTACAGGGGGCTGGGAAGGCGGCTCAGTGGTAGAGTGCTTGCCTTGCATGCATGAGGCCCTGGGTTTGATTCCTCAGCACCACATAAGCAAAAAGAAAAAAAGCCGGAAGTGGCGCTGTGGCTCAAGTGGTAGAGCGCTAGCCTTGAGCTGAAGAGAGAGCTGAGGGACAGCGCCCAGGCCCAGAGGTCAGGCCCCATGACCGGACCCCTCCCCCCCCAAACAAAAAGAAAAAAAAAGAAAGTAGAAATTACAATGACATCATAACTACCTGTCCTGTTACACCAAGATCATCTGACTGGGAAATCTATGTTCTCTCAACCTCCCTGCTCCAATACACTATCCACTTGTGTTTAGGGTTTAAATACTGAACTTGTTTACCTTCTTTCCTTTCTTCTTCTTCTTTTTCGAAAGCTTCTTTCCAAGCGTGAAGACTGGCTCTAAAGAGTCCACAATATCCAGGTCCCACACCTCAATGACAGGGGTCATGTTTCCCACAGCAATGTAGTTTCCTGCAGGAAGAACAGTGTGCTGTGATTACACAGAGTAAAACCAAACTAACTTATTGTAGGCTGAGTGATGGCTTAGAGAGGTGCTTCTCAGGCTTGTAAATCTATCATTTTAAGATTCTCTTTCAGGTAATTTTAAGGGGACTCAAGTCTGCATTTTTCATCAGTAACTAGTGATGCAATGTTATGCTGCTGATTTCAGAGTCACAATTCAACTTGACTAACAACAGCCCAATCTCTTGGCTTCAATTATGAGAACTACTGCTACCTATATACCCACCTTCTTCTTCCTTCTCCAGCTTTTGTGAGGATGAGGATCCAAGGGTGAACATGAATAGTGTTCAAGACATAAGAAGTCGGTGAACAAGACATAAGATGTCAGAATTATCAGTGTTTGCCTTTATTCAAAACTATAGACTGGGCAAGATAAGGCTAAAGTGACTAACACGAGAATCTAGTTATTTTGAACAAGCCTCTCCATTTCTATTCTATCTTAAATTTTCTAAGACAAGTTATTACATTATACTCAGTTGGATTCCAGATGTCAGTGGTTCACGCCTATAATCCAAGCTACTCAAGAGGCTGAGATTGGACGTTCAAAGCCAGCCCAAGCAGAAAAGTCTGTGAGAGTCTATCTCCAATGAATCAGCAAAATGCTAGGCTGCAGGTGTGGCACTCTACCATTTGAGCCACAAGTTCAGGTCTTGAGTTCAAGATCTGAAACCTGTAAAAACAAAACAGAAGCTGGGCGCCTCATGCCTGTAATCCTAGCTACTCAGGAGGCTGAGATCTGAGGATCTCGATTCAAAGCCAGCCTGGACAAGGAAAGCCTGTGAGACTCTTATCTCCAATAAACCACCCAGAAAACTGGAAGTGGTGCTGTGGCTCAAGTGGTAGAGCACTCACTCGCCTTGAGCTGAGGGACAGTGCCCAGACCCAGAGTTCAAGCCTCACGACTGACCAAAAAAAAAAAAAAAAAAGTCATAATGTTGTGCTACTTTAAACTGTTTGTATGGGACCCTTAGAGTACTACAGTCCAAAAACTTCCATGTCTTGTTCTCAGCCTTCAATGGAGCAGCTACTCTTAGCCAGTCTGAAGTCTGGGGATACCCAAACACAGACCCTGAATAATTAAGTGATGGTGTTGGTAACAACCTAACGATTGAAAGCATGACTCAAAGGTAGAGGGCCAGCCTACCAAATGCAGAGCCCTGAGTTCAAGCCTCAGTATCATCATTAGGGGTGGAAAAAAAGTAGACAAAACTATAGAACTAAAACTTCAGAAAAGTGATAATTTCTTTATAAATACTGGCAACAATTCTGAATATGCTTATATAAAACACAAAATTTATATAAATTAAGAAAACTCTATAGCTCATGCCTGTAATTTTAGCTAGTCAGGAGGCTGAGATTTGCTGATCAACGTTCAAAGCCAGCCTTGACAGGAAAGTCCATGAGATTCTCATCTACTATTAGCTAACATAAGAAATGGAAGCAGAGGTGTGGTTCAAGAGTAATAAAAGGAACAGTGCACAGCCTCTGAATTCAAACCCCGCACACGCGCGCGCACGTGCACACGCACACGCACGCACACACACACACACAACACACACACACGCTCACACACTCATTCACTCCATAGACTAGAAACAATTTTGCAACTTCAAGTTTTCCAATTACCTGTAGAATCATCTGGGCTAGGATCAAAATTCAGCCACTCCACACTAAGAGGATATGCAGACAGGAGAATGTCATGGTGTACATAGAAAGAGTCTTCGTCTTGGTTATAAACTGTAATGATTGGTGAAAAAGAATTCATATTTAGAAATGGAAGAGCTAATCAAAACGTATTGTTAACAGTCTTCAAAGTTAATTAAAAACCAACCATGTAAAAGAAACTCCGGAGGCACTGGGTTTCGAGCCAACACTTCCTGAAGTGGGGACTGGGGCCCAAAAGAGAACTGGGGCCTTCTGTGTTCAAGTATTATGAAGAAAAGGGGCTACTCTGCAAAGGGGAAGCATTTGAAATGACCGGAAAAGCAGGAAAAATCCTGTGTGTCCAGGACAATCTTAACCTTGGCAAACACGTTTACATAATAAAAAGCCGTTTAACTGTATATATCTAAGGGGTCTATTGCCATGGTAAAAAACAGACTAGTTGGGCATGGTGGCTCGAGCTTGTAATTCTCGCTAGCTGAGAGGTAAGAGATGGGGATAAGGTTCCAAGGCCAGCCATCGGGAAAAAAAGTTTGAAACATTCCATCTCAACTCATGTCTGGGCATGGTGGCACACGCCTATTACCCAGAGGTAACAAGTAAGCACAATGGCTGGACGTAGTTTGTCTTCCTCAGCCCATGTGAAGCATGAGTAGGAGGACTGAAGCCCAGGCTGGCCTGGGAATAAAGGGAGACCCAACTTTGAAAATAACCAGTGGAGGGCTGGGAAGGTGGCTCAGTGGTAGAGCGCTTGCCTTGCATGCATGAGGCCCTGGGTTCGATTCCTCAGCACCACATAAGCAAAAAGAAAAAAGCCGGAAGTGGCGCTGTGGCTCAAGAGGTAGAGCGCTAGCCTTGAGCTGAAGAGCTGAGGGACAGCGCCCGGACCCAGAGTTCAGGCCCCACGACCGGATCCCCCTCCCCCCCCCAAAAAAAAAAGAAAAAAAAGAAAATAACCAATGGAAAAGGGTATGGATCAAGTAGTAGAGCACCTGCCTAGCAAGTACAAAGCTCTGAGTTCAAGCTTGCCAAAAAAAGATCTCAGACTTTACATGTCCAGCCAAAACAAGAAAACACAATCTCAGATTTGATGTGCCCAGAGCAATAACCAGAAAAGGACAGTTGTGTAACATTAACTGTATAACCAACTGACCCAGGGAAAGGCAGGATCTAGCACCTAAAATGTCTGAACAGCAACCACTGCAATTACGTTACCATCACTTAGAAAGCCTTCTGGTAGGGGACTTAATTTTACTTACCATGAACCTCTAAATTGCACTGTTCCTGTTCAGCTCGGCCACAAACTATGAGGTTATCACTGGGCTTAATCAAGAAATCATCACGTTCATATTGTTCCTAAGGAGGTAGGAAAAAAAAGTCATTAGCTAGAGACAGAGGTCAAATATGGTTCATCCAACACGTAAGGGAGTAATTAGAAAAGCAACATGAACATTTACCGTGTCTTTCAGGGTGACATAAGGATCTTGATCATTACTTCCATAGACTGTAAGACCCATGAGAGATTCACCAAGAGTCTCAGCATCTATGATAAGATTTCATCAATCAAAATGAGTAAAATGGTCATCTTGACAAAAATATTTCCAAGCCCGTCTTTGGACTTAGAGCAACTATCTAATTCATAACTAACTGCACCATTGATAGCTGGGAAAGAAAGTAGTGAGCAGATTTAAGAGCCATTCTATTTGACCTTTGGAATGCATTTCTGTCAGTCTCAGAAGTTACAATGCTCCAATGAAAGAATAAAGGCTTTTTTAGAAAATATGAGTAACTGCTCAGATTCTCTAGCTTTTTCCAGGCAATCATGACTCAAGGTTCTCTAGAGAAAAGTCCAGAAACCCTAAAATCAGTAAAATAAATAAGGGGCGCATGGTCAAAATTGAGAAATGATGGGTTTCACAAGGTTGACCAGAATGCTTTATTCCAAGTGTTGACAGAACTGCTGATATATTAATGAGCCATATGGATCTAAGAGAGAATGCTGTACACTCTCTTTACTTCCCCTAGTGAACAGCATACTTGGATTTACCCTCACTCGCTCTCCAGAAACCCCTGGACAGCTTCCCTTCCAGTCAGTGAGGTGAGCCTGATTCTTTTTTTTTTTTTTTGGTCCGGTCGTGGGGCCTGAACTCTGGGCCTGGGCACTGTCCCTCAGCTCTTCAGCTCAAGGCTAGCGCTCTACCACTTGAGCCACAGCGCCACTTCTGGCTTTTTTCTTTTTGTTTATGTGGTGCTGAGGAATCGAACCCAGGGCCTTGAGCATGCAAGGCAAGAGCTCTACCACTGAGCCACCTTTCCAGCCCAGAGCCTGATTCTTTTGATGTGGGCTATCTTTATAATGAGCTAATGTTCTCCAAGTCATTTCTGGTTTTCTAAGCCGAGAACTGCTGATTCTATCAAAGGAGTTGCACCAGGTCCCAAAGATGTATAGAGTAACTGGGATTTGGAAGTTATATGAATACCTTCTTTAACATGTTCTCAAGTGCCAAGACTGAATACCTATTTCTCAACCTGAATAATTATTTCTTTTGGGTGGCATTGATAGAAGACCACAAAGCAAGTTCACCCAGTGTTTGCCATCCCCTTTCCCAAAGGACAATACAGTTGTATATATCTTCTTGGCTTATTTTATTTCTTCTAAGACTTTCTTCTAGACTTCTTCCTTTCCTTTTTACCTCCCTTTCCTCTTCCCACCTGAACTGTCTTTTTCTTTTTGCCAATCCTGGGGCTTGAACTCAGGGCCTGGACACTGTCCCTGAGCTTCTTTTGCTCAAGGCTAGCACTCTACCATTTGAGCTACAGTGCCACTTCTGGCCTTTTCTGTTTATGTGGTACTGAGGAATCAAACCCAGGGCTTCCTGCATGCTGGGAAAGCACTCGACCACTAAGCCACATTCCAAGCCTTTGGAATTCTCTTTTTGTAATTGTTTCAACAATAGTGGTGCAACGACTACCTTTCAGAATGTAATGCTGAAAAACATGACTGTACTTACAGTCATAAAGATAAGTTTCAATTACAACTGCATACAAGGACTCCTCATATGATTATACCTGCTATATGAAAAAGAACATACAACACTTGGATTTTAGATTTGTATTTTAGACCAACTGGTCAGAACTTATCTTCTAGGGGCTGGGAAGGTGGCTCAGTAGTAGAGCGCTTACCTTGCATGCATGAGGCCCTGGGTTCAATTCCTTAGCACCACATAAGCAAAAAGAAAAAAGCTGGAAGTGGCACTGTAGCTCAAGTGGTAGAGCACTAGCCTTGAGCTGAAGAGCTGAGGGACAGTGCCCAGGCCCAGAGTTCAGGCCCCACGACTGGACCCAAAAACAAAACAAAACACCCCCCCCCAAAAAAAAAAACTCCTGTTTTCATCTGGAAATCACTGTCTTCAAATAATTGAAAGATTATATGTTCCTTTTTAATGAGAACCACTTTCTCCTTTGACCAATTTTGAGATGTTTTGTCCCTATTCTATAAACAGGCAATGAGTTCCTGCTGCAGGCCAAACACCAAAGAAACAGTCTGAGCTGGGTACTGGTGGCTCAGGCCTGTAAATCCTAACTATTCAAAAGGCTGAAATATAGAGGATCTAGGTTCAAAGCCAGCCCAGAAAAAGTCTGCAAGAATCCATCTTCAATTAACCAGCAAAAAGATGGACTGGAGGTGTGGCTCAAATTGGAGAGCATCATCAGTGAGCAATTAAGCCAAGCAAGAGCCAAGCCCCAGAGTTCAAGTCCTGGTATGGTCCACACAAAACAACGAAGGAACAGTAATAATAATAAACCCACATCTACTGGGACTACAATCAACTGCTGCATTCCTGCAGCCTGCTCTGTCATTATTGTCCCAGTGAAACACATGCAAAGCCCCTCTCCTCTTTTATGACCCTTAATTTCAGACACAATATATACGCACATGTCAACTCTACGAAGGGCAAGGCTGTTTCGTTCATGCCTGTCCTCTGACCCTGACAATGCTTGACATGAATAGAAGGCGTAAGTCTGATGAACAAGTAACCCTTCACCTCTGCTTGGACTCAGTCTCCAACTCCTGGAGGTTTTTCTTTCATACTTCCTGCCCCATCACTATGACTACTGCAAGGTTTCCGTGTTGTGTGTGTGTGGTATCTGTGTGTGTGCGCGCGCGAGTCCTGGGGCTTGAACCCAGGGTCTCAGGGTCTGGGCGCTGTCCATGAGTTTTTTTCCCCCCCTCCTCAAGGCTAGCGCTCTACCATTTGAGCCACAGCGCCACTTCCGGTTTTCTAGTGGTTTTATTGGAGATCAGAGTCTCACGGACTTTCCTGCGCGGGCTGACTTTGAACCATGATCCTCAGATCTCAGCCTCCTGGGTGGCTGAGCTAGGCATTGTTAATCAGGCTCGGGGCAGCCTCCCAAACCCGGTTTTCTGCGCCGCAGGGCACAGGCGGGGGTGGGGGGTGGGGATAGGATTCGCCCCACTTTTCCCGGCTACGCCCCCACAAGGAGCCCCGGGCCACCTTTCCCGCCCGGCCGCGCCCCGCCCCTCCGGCTTGCGAGTTTGGGGGTGCGGCCTGGCTGGGGGTACAGGTCGGAGGCGGGGTCCTGATTCCTCAGGCCCAAGAGACCCAGATCCTCGAAGCCGCGGCTCCGTTAAGACAGGCGGGCCAGAGCCGGACCAGAGCTGGCAGGCAGGGCCGGGGCAG